CCAAATTTCCAACAGTGCTCCCTGAGTTCCTTGACCCACATTATAGGGAACATAAATATGGACTCTAGACTATATACTCAATCACAACCATAATCTAATACAAGTATCAATAGAGACAGACCAGCCAAGCTTGACTACAGGCACATAGTTTTGGCTCTAGAAATCGAAACCAATTGATAATATATCAACCTATGGCCAACCGATTTTTGAACGAAACAAGCCAAATTAAGGATGTTCTTGTTCCTACTTGTCTTGCATTATAACATCTCTATCATTACAAAAAGGCTATACAAATTTAGCAACAATTGAAAGAAATGAGACATAGTTTGTCTTCATGTAGGGCACAAGTCTGAACTGGGTTTCTAATGTCCGTAAAATTGCAAATTGGCAAAACTCTAAATGAAGTTAAACTTAAATTGAGTTAGATCAACACAAAGAAAATTAGAACTCCGGAGTCAGAGCACTTATGGCACAAGCATGTTTTCCCATCATTTTTAGATGTTATGACTATGCTAAAAACTCTAAAATGGTTCATGAATTTGCAGAAGCAAGCACTTATATGTGCACATTAAATTGGAAGGCCGCATGAACTTTGTACATGCTTTTCAATTAATTCAGGAACACACTTGAAATTTTAATTCTTTTGTTTATCTAAGCAATTATTCATTCCATGCCAATCCAAAGTCCAAGCATGACATAATTAGAGCAGCCTCTAGTTTATGGCCATATCATCAACTACATTCTTTTAATGTCACACTACATACTGATTTGTGTGTGCTCAAGCACACGTTGCAAAAGCATCCCCTGCACTTAATGGATGCTCAAAAGCACGTATTGTTTAAGGATTCCAATTTTGTTTACTAGCTTACTTATATTATAATTTATTTATTTTCAGTCAAATTTATGTAAAAACTAACCGGTCTTCCGGGGTGAAAGGAATCTCAAGGCCTCCTGTAACTTCAATAGCAACAATCCCAGCCAACTGCAAATGATCCAAACACATAAAAAGTTCAGTTGTTAGGTTCAACATGTAGAAAGATAGAAAAAATTTCACAATACAAACTAACATAAGCAAGATATAAATTTATTAAAAAGCCAAAAAAAAAAAAAACACTCCCAGTTCAATGATTTAGCATACAAAAATTACCTGGTAGAAGTCTGCATAGGATAGGATTGGAAATAGCTCCTTTATGGGCTCCAATAGCCTCACAGCAATATCAAGTCCGTTGTTGGCTTCGTGAGCAAGCTCAACTTGGTGCTTCATCATCTCAAATGGTCCCCCTGTTTTGGTTTTTAAATCGTAAGTCCCAGCCGAGTGCCATCTGCAGCAATAGATAACACACAATAATCAAGTAATCGGGTGATTCTCTCCAATCAAAATAGTGAAAGCATCAACTCTAGTTACTCACCAACAACTAGTAACGAGAAACAAAGAGAGAAAGAGAGAGAGAAGATGAGATCTCTCTAAAAACCACACTAATATCATTTTTTAATCTGTTAATAATGCAATAAACAATAGATCATCAATTAATCCTTACACTGATTATCAATAATAGTTTTGCGATAGAAGCAACATATATAGACACAAATGCGTAAATGAATCTATCAATATCCATATACACATACATGAGAGAGAAAATGAGAGAGACAAAGAGAGAACTTACGCTAATCGGAGCATCAATGGAGCACAATGCTTCTCAATGATGAATCCTCTGAGCTTCTTCTTGCATTTCTCATCTACCTTCTGGTAATCCTCACTTACTGTTGGATAGCACTTTTCCATAACTATCTATTACTTTTTCTAATCAATCTCAAACCAAACAAACCGTAAATCAGAATCAAACCACAAAAATATCATGAAAATCACCAAAAAGAAGAAGAAGAAGAAGAAGATCCAAACAACTAACAATTTTCATAAAAAAGCATTCATATACACTAATCACAGCATGTAGAGCATAGTTACAGACCTGTGGAGCAAAGAAGAAATGTAGAGCAAAATTCAATAAAGAGTGTGAAGTGATCAAAAGGTGAATGCTACATCGATTTATATGGATGGTGTAGAGAACGAGAACATTCTAGCATTTGATTTGGGCCGTCGGAGACCAGAAATCATTTTTCGGTATTGATCGTCAGCTTAACGGCTCGGATCATGCTTGTCTGTCAAGATTGTGGCTGTTGGTGGTCATCTATCAGATCATAATGGAGTGACTTGCCAAATCTAAATGGAGTCGTGTGGCATGCTGTCACTACAATTTGTCGTTTGTGAAGACAATGATGGCATAGGAAGATAATGGTATCCATTGCTAAATGGAAAATTTCAGCTATACCCTTCTAATTTATCATATTTTTAAGGATACCTCATCTATTTTTTGAATTTTCACTAACACCTCTATCAAATTAAAAATGTTAAGTAGAATGCAATTTTACTAAACTATCCAAGATATATTTTAGAAAAAACTTCATCAACACCCCTCTAGATAGGCATATCCTCAATAAGACCTCTTATATTTTTTAAATTTTTTTACATATTAAAATTTAGATAGATTAAAACTCAATTCGAATTAATTAAAATTTATTTTTTACGTCATAAAATTTAAGTCGATTAAAAATTATATTTTTTTACGTATTAAAATTTGAGCCGATTAAAATTCTATTTAGCCGATTAAATTTTTTTTAATTTGCTCGAATCAAGTTTTAATCAACTCCCACTGAATTTTAATCGGTCTGAATTTTGATACCTAAAAAAATATAAATTTTAATCGACTTAAATTTTAATACATAAAAAGTGAATTTTAATCAACTTGAATCGAATTTTAATTGACACAAATTTTAATAAAAAAATATAATTTTTAATCGACTCAAGCAAATTTTAATCGGCTCTAATAGCTCAAGTAGGTTCAAATTGACTTGAATTTTAATACGTAAAAAAAATTTATTAGGCTCAAATTTTAATACTTTTAAAAAAATAAAATTTAATCAGCTTGAATCGAATTTTAATCGGATCAAATTTTAATATGTAAAAAAAATGAATTTTAATCATCTCATATTTTAATATGTAGAAAAATGAATTTTAATTGGCTTAAATTTTAATCTAATTTTATGTAGAAATATTGTTTGGGATTTATGTAGGGATAATTTTTAAATTTTGGATATTTGTTTTTGTTAGAAATGGTGGTTTAACGGCAATGAATGTCAGTAATGTTTAAATATAACTTAGAAGGGGGTGTCGTTTATGTTTTGAATAATAGAGGTGTCCTTGAAAATATGATAATTTAGAAAGGTGTGTGACTAAATTTTTCGCTTCCTAAATTTATAATTTTGAGTACAAGTTATATTATTTTGAAATTAGGGCTGATAATCGACCCCAGCTCGGGTCGAGTTTGTTGTAAAAAATAATTCAAACTTAGCTCATTTATAAAATGAGTCGAGCCCAGAACGAGCCGAACTTGAGCCGATCCTGAGTAATTCAGTTATTTTACATATAAACGAGCCGAGTTTTTTAGGCTCATTTTTAAAACGATTCAAAAAAATTGTTCGAACTTTTAAACGAATCGAGCTTGAATCGAGTCTTATTCGAACTAAATCCGAGTAGTTATAAGCACTATTTGAGATATAAGTTATAATTGAAAAAATAATAAAAATTATAATTTTTACAGATAAAGTTATTATTTTTTGAGACCAAGTTATATATTTTAAATGTGAAATTATAACCGTTTACATTAACTTCATGACCATAACACAGTTGTAATTTATTTTTAAAAAGTGTGACTTAACCTCATGTCAAAAAAAATTTAGTAGCATAGAATTACTCATGATGGAAAATTACACTTAATAGGATTGAGAAGTTTATTGCACCTTAAAAAAAATCAATACCGTACAATCAATATAAATTTTGTGAGTTTTTTTATAAATTTTTATGGTCATTTTACAAGCTTTGTAGTAATTTAGCATAAAAAAGTTATGATTTAAACTTAAAAATTGTGACTTGACCCCATTTTTTTTTTTTTTTGTAAACAAACTTCAAAACTTGTATGAAAATTTCAAACAATTGTAAAATTTTGAGATACAATACCAAATTTTTTGTCGTAGTACTGTAGTCTTGTCCTAGTAGAATTCACATTCGACGCATAAAAATGCCATATCCAAGGACTTTGCCACTCGGATGAACCCTCTTAGGTCCTACACTAACAAGTTAATGTGCTATTGTCTGAAAACTATAGCGGTACTATTTCCTTGATGGTTGAATCGGCCACTATAATTCGAGTTAATTTAAGAGCATATTGAGGAACAAGAGTGTCTAACCCTTAAGGAATGTGTGAAGTATCAAATCTAAGATCTCTTATTTAAAGAGTAGGCAAAACATTGAACCACTCTTAAGAATTTTGTAACGCCCCCAAAGCCCCCTTGGACGGCATCACAATCTAAAATTATTCGCATCATGAGAGCAACTAATAAAATCCATAAATAAAAATAATTTCATTCATCATCCATAATGTATATAACATCATTCCAAAAGAATATGTCAAACCATAACCATTACATCCCGAAAGAATTAGTTATTATCTCACAGCGGAATAACAAAATATGGTAGCCTTTACATTGTCTCAAGATAAATTCTCTAGTCTAGAACCTAGGACCAAAGAGAATATAATCATAGACATCCATCTTGGGATCCACGTTCTCATCTATTGGAGCTTCCCAATGTGCCTGTTCATCTACTGCGAGCTCCTCCTTTAGCACATAATCTAAATAATATGTTGTTTGTAGGGGGTGAGCACTAAGCTCTGTAGCAACATCCTCCCAAACTCAAACAAGGTTTAGAAAACATATAAAACAATTCAGTCTCACTTTACAAAATAACATGCATAATTTTGAAAGAAAATAAGGACATTGCAATGGATCTCAACTTTAAGTAAGAGCAATAATTTAAATGAAAGGAATAAACATGTTGGAGTGATAAAAATCAAACAATCATTCAACAACGTAATCCCATATTCTCAGGTATGTTGGTTGCTTCCCATGAATCTACACCACGATTTTACCTCGTTCACCCACCATAATCACACAATCCCAAACATTTTAGGAAAGGCATATACTATCTCTCACGGCATTGACAAATCCTTCCCAAGAAAGGTATATCATCCCTCAGTCTCAAACTTACGTGAACAATAGTGGTTGCTCTCACAAACAACAAACCACTACAAGTGTTAGGAAATCATCTCACCTCCACTGGAATAGACTAACCTCTAACACTCTACGGCAGTGCTCGAATGCAATTCAAGTTCATCACAACAACCATACAAGAAATGCAATAACAAACATTTTCTCAAATCACAAGGAAATTCAAAATCCCCAAATTTTATAATTTGTATTACAAGAGAACAATTTAAGAAAATAAGCAAGAAATCATCAACAATCTATTTTTATTTTTCATTACAAAGCACTAAAGTTTTGAAATCAAGAACAAGAGAAAAATCAATAGAAAAATCCCTTTCTCTTGAAAACTAGGGTTTTATGATAAGAAAAGAATTTTTGTGGTTCTCTAACCCTAGCATTATTTAAAACATGGTAATCTTTACAAAAATAACAAGAGTGAAAACATACATATACATATATACATATAAGCCCTAACCTCAATGGTCAAGAATGGGAGGAACCCCTACCTTGTTTTGTAGTTTGGAAAAAAATGTAGAAGATTTGATCTTTCCCACTTGAATCTCTTATGTTTTCTCTTCTTTCTTCCTCTCTAAGGTTTCCTAGGGTTAGAAAGGTTGAAATGGGGCTAAAGGAGGTGACTTTAAGTATTTATAGGGCAAAAAATGAACCACGATTCGCGATTTAAAATTTCTGAGTTTTCTGCGAACTTTCTGGACAACAGCGTACCGGTACGGTAGACTCTCGAGCGTACCAGTACACTGTACCGGTACTGTTTTTTCAGTTTTGCCTGTTTCCTTTATTTTTCATTTTCAATCCATTCCAAACTCTTCCAAAACCAATTCAAACTTATACAACATACATTTTGACATCAAACATAGTTGGTACGAGTTTGATTACAAATAATTTTATATACTTACCCAATTTTTACACTATTAACATTTTCTATAGTTATAACCTACATACCTACGCCATCACATATATTAAATTACTAAACAATTGATTATTATATTATTATAAACATGTGGGGGTTTACAAATTTATTTGAAAATTTTTGGTAAACCTAAAAAATAGATGTTTCCTTCTCCTTATGTATCCTTCGAGGGTGAGGAGAAAGGTAGGGAGGGGTGGTTAAGGTGGACAAGACTTGTGGTAAAAGGAATTTGGTACCAATAGGTCTTTGGTTCAATGACATTCTTTGTCTTGTAAATACTTTGGATTCTTTAGTTTTGGTTATGAACAATATAAATTATTTTTTGAAGATCTCTTGCATATTTTCTTGAATTATTTATGTTGAAAGGTTATGAAATTATGATTCTTTTTTGGTGATTGATTTTTTTTAGAAATCGTGAAAATTATCTCATGTATGAGGGGGTGTGATTAATGTAGGTTGCAATCGACTGGATAGTGTAGAGGGATTAGACGATTTTCTTACCTTGAAGAGTTTGAAGGTTTCCTATCATTCGTAGTGAGATTGGTGCCTCGCGAGGGCCAAACACTATTCACTCAAGGTGATTGAGGCGAAGGGTTAGTCTACTATTTCTAGAAAGTTACGTCAATGCCGATGCGTTGGTATACGCATTTCTTGAAAATGTGTTATCTGGCTTGATCCGAAATGTTTACACCTAA